ATCTGAAGCTCTCTCTCTGGTGTTCCGCTGGACAGGGTGAGACAGATGTGTGTAATTTGACTTGAACTATTGAACCGCATGTTTATTATCAGAGGTCTGGCACACACCAGGTTGCGCAATATCTGAAGGCCATGTTATTAGGCAATATTGTGCAATGTGTGGCGTCAACCGTGAAGAGTTTAAGAAAAATGTGCTCCTTGAAAATTAGAGCTTGAATAATAGGGGCAACCAACAAATGATTTGAACATTCCCTAATGCAGGTCAGGTGACTCAAACTAATCATAGAGTGACTGTGTGGACTTGCTTCCTGTTTTTTATTAAGAGGCGGCCTCTGAGAGGCACATTTTTTGGATTGTGTCTGATCTAAATCGTAAATAATGAGCACAGCTCTAGTTAAGCTAGAGTTAATTGTGCTCAGCTGAGCAATCTATTTTGCACTTTGTACGGTGTTACATCTTGCTGTCTTCACACCTCTGATTGCTCTCAAATTGGTGAAGTATATACAGAAGGGAATTACATTTTCAACTGTTTTGGAGAGGACAAACAGTTTCTATGCTGTGCTTGCATGGCTAGGACTGGGCGGGCGGGCGGGCGGTATAGCTAAAACATATATATCTAGATAGTTTAATGTTATATATTTTTGTTTTAGATTTCAAATAATGCTTGTATATATATATATTGATATTTATTAAATTGCTCTGAAATTGCTTATTGTTTTATTGTAACCAACTAGATATAAAACCAACGCAGGAAACAAACTACAGTAAAAAGTACTTTAAAATGACCAAGACATGTTCTCCACTGTTTTTCACTGAATTAACACACGAAAGAATGCTGTTTAATATATAAAATAAAATTGTGATAAACAGAAATGTATATATTAATACATGCCATTTATTTATTATTATTTAAATTTTTTTTAGTTAAATTTCACCTTTATTTATGGTATTGTGTCATATAAGACAACAGAATGGTAAAGGGTGAATGGGACTGGGATGTAATTCAGGATTGACTTCACACACACACACATATATATATATACTGTATATATATATATTTTTTTAAATAATAAAAACACTTTGCTGAGAAAATGTCATATCTTTACATTTTTGAATAGTGACGTAAAAAAAAAGGTTTAATCCAATCGAATCAAGAATCAATTAAATAATTCATGCAAAAGAATTGAACCAATTAAACTATTTAAATTGTGAGACACACAAGTCTCACAAGTAACATAAAGACAAACTGTTTAGTGAATTTCATAGCCAAAATTCACAATATTGGTTAGTTCTACATCACCAGAAAAGAATTGCAAATATATCGTGAATATACAATATGTCACCCTGCAGTCCAAACAACCACCCACTAAGGTGTTTGAAAGTCTTGCCTGTTTCACAGCTGGAAGAGATCTGCCCGCATTCCCAGTAGGCTGTGCGGACTCAGGGGGTAGCGATAGCCCTTCCCAGCTGTCCTCGACAATGTGGGAAAGCCTGAGCCTCTTCTAGAGCAGTGCCAGAAAATATTCGGCCCCTCAAGCGCAGCGTGAGTGCCAGTAACCAAGCATGCTAACTAGCGTGACTGCTAACCACCCAGAGACCAAACCTCATACAAAGAGTAAACTTACAGAAAAGAAGCGAAGAGAAAAAGGAAGCAGAGGGAGAGGAGGACAGGAAAGGATGTGATTGCTAGAGATTACGCAGCCCTTCCAAAACAGATAATGACCACAAAGCACTCTTTTTTCTTTCTCACAAGGCATGTGTTTTTACCCCTTGAACAATATTAGCCCTCTTCCCTGAGTGTTATGATGCCCCTGCTCGTAATGAGCAAGGCAGCTGTGTTTGTTTTCCAGCAGTGCATGCTCACACAGGGCTGGGTAAGAATTGTTTTTCCTTCTCTGCCCTCGGTGAGGCTGGAAAACTCACAGCTGCAACTAAAGAAAAACGTGGAGAAAGTGAACAAGAACCAACAACTGCAGGTGAAAATCAAAGAAGAGACTGAAAGGAGAGAGAGAGCAAGACGTAAAGAGGTTGAGAAAAAGGACATCTTTTAGCTCTTCTGAGATAATTTGCCCTGACGGCAGCTGTGAGGCTGAAGACAACTGTCTGGCTTTGACAGATCTCTAACCAGGAACAGATCACACATGAAACTCTCTCCCTCTTCCTCTTGCGTTTTGGAGGTCAGGTCCCTCCAGGAGTGGTTGTGGGGTCAGAGGTCAAAGTTCAGTCAAAGTGTTCACAGGAAGTGTATCCGCTACAGACTCTGGTTTGGAGCCCTTTTGCAGAGCTCTGTTTAATGGGCCAGGCAGTCACTGGGGAGATCTGCTGTTTCCCGTCCTGTACAGGAACCACCCTGCCACTTCACTCTTTGTAGGCTGGTGACTCACAAAGGAGATTTAGTTCCTCTGATTTGTGTTCTATGTGCACATATGTGTAGGTGCATGTCTGTGTGAAAGCATCTGGGTTTCTATGCCAAGAAAAGCAGTAGTTCACTGAAAATCAGTTTGAAAGTGAAAGCTTCAGCACTCCAATGTAGATGTCCATTAACTGTTGTAGGTCCCAATGAATATATGCTGACTAGGGATGATAATCTAAGTAATCAAAAGTAACAATACTAGTCTTTCTGTATTATTGGTCACAGAGCACCAAGTTTGGTTCCCGAGTGTTGTCTCAGTGAAGAAGGTACACATGTCGCAGCTGCTGCAAGTGTGAATGAACAAATGTACTTCTTAGCTAAAAAGCTTGTCTTATTTGGCTTGAGTTATTAATGTAACACAGTCAGTGAGTGTAAAACGGTAAGACAAAAAAAAAGGGATATGTGTCAAAATATCAGAGTTGTTAGGTCTGGCTCTGTATTTTACTGTATTTATTATCCAAAATAAAGGAGAAGAAAAAAGCTGTAACAGAGGTGAAAGGTACTATACCATTTAAGTAATAATATGTACCTTTATTGTATATTACACACACTCTTTAGGGGTAAATAAGGTACAGAGATGTACAAGAATACAACAGTATTGACAAGAATGATACAAATACTCACTGCTCTTAATTAATTTCGTTATTCTTTATTACTATTTACATAGTAAATAACTACAAATTCTTCAAAAACTTCAAAACTATGTTTATATTACACCTATTTATTTATATATTTCAGTTTTTTAATCAAAGGTCAGTTCAGTTTACTTTTGTGATCTTTATTTATTACATAGTAAATAACAAATACTTAAAAAACAACTTTTTTTTTTGTTGAAATTTCACTATTGTATAGAATACTAAAGTTTTAGTCATAACAACCCTAATACTAATCACACCATAACTGAATAAATATGTATTTACAATCCACAATACTTTTTACGGTTTTACATAATACAAGTATTTTCTAAAAAATTCCTATCCATCCATTTTTCAAACTGCATGTCCTGCAGGGCCATAAGGATGCTGGAGCCTATCCCAGTGTCTCGGATCGTTGGCAGAGAAACATCCTGTATGGATGGCCAGTCCATTACAGGGATTCTACAAAGTTAAAGCATAAAAACTCTTTCCACACCTGATTCACACCCCCTCAAACTATTGATTCAAATCATGTTTGCACGAAGCCCACACATTCACCCTTTAGCTCCCTCTCACGCCCACTTTGTGTTCCTAAAGACCACATCTACAACAACAACCACCCAGAGGTGAACCTGCCTGAACTACCGCTGACTCACTGGGTCATTGAAGCGCCATAGTGAGAGGAAACTTTGCTTATTTTATTGATGTTTCAGGTGAAGAAATGCATCCAAAAACACAAGACCTAGTGACCCCCGAACTTCCTCACCATGCAACTGCAGCACAAAGCTCATCCGGTGTAGACGCGACAGACACCAGACACCAATAGACACTCTAGAGGAACTCTCAGGTGCGGTTTCAGTTCTGTGGTGCAGACGATGCTGTATATTTATAGCTACTTAAATTGTATTTAACTCGAATTGTGCTGTGGTTTTCTTGAATGATGTCTAATTATTATTCAGAGCTTTGAAGGTCTGATTGACTTGGCTAGGAAAACCATGTCACATACTTGAGAGGGAAACCACTGGCAGATGGAGAGACACAAAATCATCCATGCCAAATCAGACCAACAGATGCAACCGCTCTAGTTCTTTACTGGACTACAACAAAGCTACTGTTCTTCTGTGCAGTTCTTATATTTTCACCATACTGCATTTATCATAATGTTAATTTGTCAGTATCTGAAGCAGTAGGAGAGAGAGAGAGAGAGAGAGAGAGAGAGAGAGAGAGAGAGAGAGAGAGAGAGAGAGAGAGAGAGAGAGAGAGAGAGAGAGAGAGAGAGAGAGAGAGAGAGAGAGAGAGAGAGAGAATCAGAGAAGTCAACTGAATGCAATCCTGGAGTCTTTCAATAAGTAGCCTACCCACAACAACAAAAAAAAAAAAAAAAATCATATAGCATTTATATAATATTAATAAATGTGCAGAGAACTATTTATATTGCTGAAACTGCCTGAGCAGCCCTTATATGACATGAAACATAGGAAGAGAGAAACAAAACTCAAAACCAAACTCAAGACTGCAAAACTGTAAACACATTTTATCAAATTATCAATAATGCACTTAAATAATATTAGGAATTAGGCTATAGATTTACTAAGAATTCTACCCAGGCAATTCAGGTCATAAAGTCAGGAGTCACATATTAAACAATTACACAAATATGTCAACAGCAATAAAAGTGAAAAAGAACCCCCAAATAAAACATCTGCCACATTAATAATAACTCTTATGCTATTAAATTGAGAAGTATTACTGACGAATGGACAGTTATGTTAACATTGAAAGTCTAAATATTTTTTTTAAGTTTATTCAAAAATAAAGGTATTAATGAGTTCTTATTTACAGTGACGATTGTAACTGTCAGTTAAATGACAGCTGACAGGTCTACAGTCTAACAAACTAACAGAGTAAGAAGTGGTAGCTAAACGGAAAGGAAAAACATCGGACAGTACTAACCTTGTTTATTAACCTCAGTAATTGAGAGCGAGAACCACTATCCTTAGAGCGTCCTTTTGTCTCCCTCTTTTCTGTCTTGTCTTCCTCTGTCGCACTTTCTGATGTGACCCCCTTCTCTTTCTCTTCCCTCCTCCGCCGTGTGTTTCTCAGGAGGAAATGAATGGATGGCTCACACGGTGCTGTTACTCACAGAGCTCGAGTCACATGACCAGGCTGAATGAAGGGAGGGGGTGGACCCTCGGGCTGCCAGGCGAGAGGACAAGCAGTGTGTGTGTGTGTGTGTGTGTGTGTGTGTGTCATATGAGAGACAGAAAGTGCACCAGACTATGAAAATGTTGTGGGTGTTTATCTATGTATTTATGTGTTGCAAATGTTAACTTTCTGCAGGAGAGAAAGATCTCAAATGATTCTCAAAAGTCAGAAATTTGAATATGAACTAAACATTTCTCAAATGTCAATTTTTTGTCTACTTTTATGTCTCCTACACTAATAACTTGTATTTATTGGCATACTATATGGTTCCATGAAGAACCTTTAATTTCCCCAAAAAATCTTTCCAAAGCACAAGAGGTTCTTTAGTGGAAAAAAGTTATTCTGATTATCAAAATGTTCTTCACACTAAGATAAAAAAAATGGTTCTTTTAAAGTAAGGTTCTGCGGGGACTGGTTCGTCTGTGGCAAACCCCCTCTTGGAACCTTTACTTTTAGGAGTGATATTTTAGGAGAAACATCTCAGAGAAAGTTGATACTTAAATGACATGAACCAAAGATCTCCATTAAGTCTCCTGAGCAATGAAATATTCCTCTGGGAATAAAGAAAAGTAAATAAACCTCTTTAACAGCTCAGGAGGATTAACAGAGATCTAAACACATCGCAGTGATGAAGAAAAAATGCCTGGATAGTGGCGCAGGGGCGAACACGCTAGGGACATTATATTTTGGTATTTAAGCTCTGTTGCTGCAAATGATCCGCCACAGTAAACCACCACTGGGCCAGTGGCAACAATGCACCAGCATGTCAATGACCTGCACAATGAAATGGTATGTGGTCACCATTCCCAAGTGGATACAGGATTATGGGAACTCAGATGTATAAGGAGGCTGCACATAAGATATGCAGCGAAATATAGTGATTAAAAAAGACAGGGTTAAAAACATATTATAAATATGAGAAATAATGTTAGAAACAATCCAGAAATAAACTGCTTTCACCCTGTGTTAATGAGCAACCAAAATGTCCATTCAGAGCAAGCACTGTAGCCCTCCCTAACATGTGTGTGTGTGTGTGTGTGTGTGTGTGTGTGTGTGTGTGTGTGTGTGTGTGTGTGTGTGTGTGTGTGTGTGTGTGTGTGTGTGTGTGTGTGTGTGTGTGTGTGTGTGTGTGTGTGCGTGTGTGTGTGTGTGTGTGTGTGCAGCTAATTGAGGAAGTCTGGGGGATGTGTGTGACTCTCCTTGGAGGCCACTCGTCAGTTGCCATAGCGACCTGCTCTCCCACCTTGTGTCGGTCCTGTGCTTTTGTGGAGGTGTGAGAGGAGGTGGAGGACTCTCTTTAGTTTTTTCTCTCTTTCCACCCCCTCTCACTGCGATACTGTCTCTCAAAGCTGTTGGAAGCATCCTTTCCATTCTAACTATTCGGTTGGCTCAGTTAAAGTAAACAGGAAGTTGACTGTGATGAGAAATTGTTTTTTCACAGGTAAAGAATTGCTGTTGACTGTAAAACTGTGGGCAAAGGCAGTAGCAACAGTCAAATTGTATTTGGCATCTGTTTAGCTGCTTCAGTGCCACTGCAATTTGAAAAGAAAACACAAGTTTTGCATGGAAGTTTAGTGGTTTCACCAGACATGGTCATCCATCACACAATCTGACAGAAATGTTGTTCTTGTATTTCTGAAAGGTAATTGGCTAGATTGACAGGACTTTATCTGCTGTTGGTGCAGGCGTTGAAATGTTCATTTTACATCAGTCAAAATGTCAAACTGAATCAAGAGAGATGATTGGACTGTTGACTTTGGCTTGGTCTTTTCCAGCGCTTAAAATGGATTTCCAAGGGGTTGTGTTTGCTTAGCTCTGTGATATGAAGATAGGAATGAAAAAGAATAGTGTGGAGAATATCAGTAATCTTTGATTATTGTCTTGGATTACTAAGATATTGCAGAAGCTAGTATGGCTTGTAAAAAAGTAAAATTGCCTGTTTGTCTAGTGTTAATTCATTGAAGTGGTGTCAGTCAAGTCATACTGAGGGAATTATTTGAAATTATTATTTGATATATTATTACATACTTTTCGAGACTGAGATATAAAAGAGAGGTTTAGAGAGGTTGGCAGTCACTGTGTATGTAAGTGCTAGCCAGGATGCTAAAAAAGCCAGTGGAGCATGACGCTAATGTGAAGCCCAAGGCAAGCGTAAACGCCTGACTGCTCTAACACCTGCTTTCAACCCGTATACATGACTCTAATAAAAAAGAAAATACCTTAACATCCTAGCTAAGGTGTGTTTACCTGAGGATAACATGGATGTTTTAAGAGAAGATCATTCAAATGGAGAGGAGTCTAATCTGTATTAATCAACATCTACTGTATGTGAACCTTTACCATCCATTAAACCTTTCCATTGCACAAAAGGTTTATTAATAGTGGAAAGGGGTTCTTAAGAGTATAAAAATGTCATTCGTTTCCTTTCAAATCTGTTCACTGAAAGTTTCTGTAGAGAAACCAAAATGGTTCTTCTATGGCATTGCTGCAAATAAAGAACCCTTCTTTTACATCCACTTTAAAAGTTTAAGTCAGACTGATTCTTTTTAATTAAATAGTTGCACGGTCGATAACATGATAATTTGATTGTAGCTTGGCTTCTTTCAGAATGTATTCGTGTTAATCGGACTACAATTGACATTTTGTGCCAAAAGACAAAAGTGACTTCCAACTGCGATGTATATTTAAGCATACAAATATTTGATTACAGACAGATGAAGATGAAGTTTGACTAAACAAAAACCCAGTGAAGCTAGATTGCAATGTGCATGTGAACTTAATATCTGTGGATTTGATTGGCTCAGACCTTGCTATAAAGGATGACTGAGTAGCTGGAATGAAATGAACCCTGTCAGCTAACACACACACACGCACACACACCTAAACAAACTTTTATATTGTTTCAGCTGAAGAGCCCTGCAATCTTCAATCAAGTACACTGGACCAGACTGTGAGAAAGAAAAACAAGGTAGACCATGGTCACCGAAACATACAGGACGGAGTAGTGCTCAAAACTCCAATTAGTGTCCAAAAAAATTATTAAAGGGGTCATCAGATGCCCATTTTTCCACAAGTTGGTGTGATTCTTTAGGGTGTTCATGTAAAGTTTGTAATATACTTTGGTTAAAATTCCTCAATGGTTGTGTAAAACACGCTTTTTACCTCAAAAACATAAACGTTTCGGTGCATGTCTCTTTAAGTGATAATGAGCAACTGCTCACCCCACCCCTCTCTTCCATGGGGGGTGTCGAATGGCTGAGAGCAGAAATATGGTAATACGGGACAGTCCGTCAGTGGTTGTGGGCGGAGCATGAGCATTATGACATCATAGTGCTCAGAGTGTTTAGACTTTTCGAGGATTAAAAAAAAGGAGTGAATGGATTTTTTTCATTATATGGTGGTTGTGTCCACACACTGCAAAGACACATTTTTATGCAAACACCATATAAAAGTGAATTTTGCATCCGATGACCCCTTTAACTAGCCTGGTTCTACCAGACTCTCGTACATTTCATTTGTACAGAGAGTCTGGCACCGCTCCATTGACAAGCGTTAACTTCCTTGTAGGCGGGTATTCTATTGAAGTCTAAAACTATTGGATCTGCCCAGAGTCACTCTATCTGCCATAACCAATCGCTAACGTTTGGTCGTGACATATGTCTTTTCCCGAACCCCGTGGGAGGATGGCCATAAACACAAAACTAAGCAAAGATTGTTCTTGCTCCGGCTTTAACTTCTTGATATTCGGCAGCGTTGCCACAACGGACCGAATAGCTTCACTCGCATCTGTCTCCTCTGCCATTACTGAGCTACAACTCAAAATAACGCACGAGTCGACATCAACGTCATCGTTCTCAGCCACTCCCTCTGTTCGCTGATTGGCCCGGTAAAAAATTGATTTCTGGAAACCGAAGTCTACAGCACAATCCCAGACGTAGTACTGAAGGAAAATGAAATTGAGCGGAAGTGCGTAGGAGGGCGGAGCCAGGCTACCCTTTAACCACTTTAATTAGCAATTAGATTGTCAATGCTTAGAAATGGAAAAATAAGTAAATAAAACAGCCATACCAAAGAAGAGTTTCAAAATCCCGGTGTTAAAGGTGGTGTTTTTTAACAGTATTTATTAATATTTTGGATTAGATTTTATTTGTATATTTTCAGGTTTCATTTTAATTTTTAGTAATTTTGTTGTGTGCTTTTGCATTTTGAAATATGTATATATATATAGCTTGATTTTTTTTTTTTTTTATATACTTTAGTACTAAACTTCTTTGAATTAGTTGAAGTTTAAATTGTAAATTTTTTATTTCACTTACGGAAAACAAATAGTTTTATTTGAAGTTAACAATAACAACACTGATTAAAGAATGACAATCATTAAACCATTTTATCTTTTGTGAGCGAGTTGTATCACAGACCGATGAAGAAATGGCGCTCTAAATAGGACAGGTTGTGATTCGGTGAAATTTCGCTCAGTGTCCCCAACGTACAAAGGGTTGCTATTGTAATTTAGGAGGTGTTTGTGTTTGTTTCTGAAGCTTGATTACCCCCAGGTTGACACTTTTATATTTTACCAGCAGCACTCACAAATACAAACAGCATGGACACATTGTGCAGCATTATGGGTAATTGATTGCACTGGGCAAACTATGGATTCAGTTTAACAACAGCTCTCATGTGAATAACGTTCACTAAACCAATGAACGACTCTCTCAGAACAAAATCAATTGCTTCGATTCAGACCGTTCCTTAGTTTACCTTAAAACTGAGAAGCATAACCTTGGACATCTTGTTCCTTTCAGTCTTATGTTCACTTCAGGGTTTCATTGTGGTTTTGCCTTCCAATGTTTTTCTCAAAGTCTGGTGCTTTTTTTAAAACCCTAGATAATGTATTTCTCAGTGCTGTACAACTC